GAAAGATAACAGGGACCGGTTTTAATACTAAATGGAACTTCATTGCACCCAGTGATGTTAAGTACAAGGGTCACAGACCAATTGTGAAGTTCATTAAGACCGTTATGGAGAGGTCGAAAACTGTCTGAAATAGAGGCTAGGCAACCAATCACAATATCATCAGCACACTTACAAGCAATAAAGTTGGTGGGAATGGGGATATTTTATATACGCATAGGAAACAAGAAAGGGGACAAAATGACACCCTGAAAAGAAGAAGACTGTACACCATTGAGTGAAGTAAACTGAGTCCTACGGGAGTAGTTGATTAGTAAATTCAAGACTTCAGGAGTTAGACCACACTTAGAAAGACGATCAATAAGCACACTTTGGTCGAGAGAACCGAAAGCGTTTGCATAGTCGAGAAAAGTTAAACGAGTGGTACCAGCGCCATTGTCTAAGACGGAAGCAACAGAATGAACAATATGAACAACGGCGTCAAGTGTGAATAAATGGGGTTTATAAGCAAATTGTAAAGGGTCATGGGAGTCACAATGGGGTATCATGCGGTGCAGCAAAACATTTTCAAAAGCCTTCAGAAACACAGATGTGCAGGCAATGGGAAGGTACTTTGATGATCCTTTCTTTGGGATTGGTCTGATCCGGGCTGACCGCCAACAATTAGGGATCGTTCCAGATGACAAACAAGTACTGAACAATTCGGCAATTGATGTCGCAAGCTGGTCGGCGCAGGCTTTCAATAAATGAGGTGCTAATCCATCGGGACCATGAGCTTTATTGGCCTTGATTCTCCTCAAAAATTGTTGGACATTGCCCTGAGACACAGGGCGGGAGGGAGCTAGATGCAGGTACAGGAGCAAATTGACGGTTAAGTACCTCAACTTTGAGACAAGAACTGATGCGTGAGCCACAGAGGTTCCGCAAGGTAGATCACATCTCACGAAAGCTTTTTTTGCCCAAAACAGTCTCGATGTACATCCCGTTCAGGCGTCTTACCTCTGCTCTAATCAGAACAGAGAGCTCTTTGACGCTGTTACGCCTGCCGGACATATATGCCGTCTCTTTAGCACGACGAAGTCGCTTAAGCAGGGGGAGCAAAATCTATCGGTTCGTATATAAATAGTTTCAACCGGACAGCATTGGTCATAGCAGAAATTAGGATAATCGGTGAGGTGTTCATAAGAAGAAGACAGCTGGTTATGGAAGAACACAGAAAAGTCAGTGTAAGAAACTAAATCCCGCAGTCGGGACAAGTTTTCAGGAGAACAATTTCTTTTCCGTAGCGACCGAGAGGTGGGTCGTGTATCAAGACAGTGGTTAGTTTTACAGTATATTTTGGGGTAAAGAACAACGGTACAGTAATCAGAAGTGCTAATCGGGGCTCGTTTAAAAACATGAAACATATTGGGACTATTTACATTAATGCCATCAGGAGAGGCATTGGTACGGATTGGAAAATTGACAAGGTTCTCTAAGCTCAGAGTAGTTAGAAAGGAGGTATCAAGGCGATTAAAGTCACCAGCGGTAATTCACAAGGACTGGTCAATCCAACTGGCGAATTGTGGTACTACCGTATCAGAAAATCCTTTTAAGTCGGAAGCGAGTGTATCAGGGGTGATATCAATATACATAAAGCAAATGAAGCGAAATCTGCTGAGAAAGCGGGGCTGGCAGCAGATAAAAGTACAACTAATTTTTCCTGTTGAGTAGGATTTTTGCTCAAGTACAGCTCATTTAAACACCCCGCTCATTAATAAAAGAACAGCATTTGCTCCTCATAAAGGGCTTGGTAACTCTATTTTTCCGGTCTGTTTATATATTTCTCACTGTCTTACGGACAAGCATGATGCCAAAGCCACAACAATAATAACAAGAACAGGGGAAGGGAGGACTCGGATATAGAACGAAGTGCAAAAAGGTTAAACTGTTACAGTGGAAAACAGTAGATAATAAGGATAACAACAAGTTTATGTGTTTCACCGTACCCTGTTTGCTATTTTTTGTATGTAGTTTATCTTTTCAAACGGGCGAAATCGCAATTCAGCAAACAACTCACAAGATGAAATCAATAAAGGTCATGAGTAGTGATATTAACAATACCACTTTCTTCTGTAAAAGAGATCCATTGAAACTTAAGGCTATAATAAAATTATAAAATTTCATATTCGTCATATCATAATTATCGATCAAACTATTCGACCGATTTTGATATGAGATTCCAAAGTATCTTCCGTACATAAGAAAATGCAGTTGTGGTTTGAATAACCCAGTGTCACTAAAAATCGGTGCTACTGGCTCGGATGGATCGCTGTTCGTACCAACGGTTTGACAGGGATAAAATATCACTCCCGAGGGAACGAGATAGGATCATGAAGTGTCAATATCAATTGCCCAACTCAAGGAAAAATTCAATCAATGAAGATAATGACAATTGTAGGCACAGCCTTGCTAAATGCCAATTACGCATAGAATTAATGACACCTATCCCAGTGACAATTAATTTCCGAAGAATGATTGTATTCGATATGAAAGCTATTGATTAAAAATTCGTTCTTCAAAGTTTGTGCCGCGGTAAATATTGCTCCGAAACGAGGGTTTCAATGGTATTCATCTATACCGAGCATATCTCGCCGCTTTCAAGTGTGCCCCTTATCACGAAACTGTGGATATTCTGGCAACTTCAACAACGCAACGGGGCTTTATCTATACAGCATATCCGTCTGTTTATAGTTTTACCTTGTGGGACCTCGATTCTCCACTAACTGTTCATCTTCAGGTATATTGACACGTTTAAGATTTGGATGAAATTGCACTTTTCTAATGTGATAACCACCGCTGGAGTAATTTCTTGTCTACTGAATAGAATCACAAAATGACTGTTCAAACCGAGTGACAACGCATATGGTCGAATTCTGAGCATTGCTGTTTTCTTGGTTTCAGTACACCGTCCGAAACAATTCTGCTGAGTATGCATTCTTCCGTAAAATGTATGAAGTCGAGGAATCGTTGTTTAGAGTCTGGCGCGAACTTTCAATGAATCTCAGTGAGTCTCTTTTCACATGGTATGGTTTCAGTTTTCATGCGGAAGAAGAGTGAGTAAATTTTTTTATCAATTGTGCTGAGAGAAGTACACCATAGCTCTGGAATCGAACTTTTATCGAACCAACAGGATGTTGAATCAGAAAACTGTAAGGTCTAGGGTAGCAACTGAAATGTGGAGGTAGAGTCATAACATTTATTGTTTTACGTTGAATTATCAAGCCTTCCAAATACTCTGATGATGGCTTCTGTCAAAGCTGAAGCGACATGTTTATCCATATAAAGCGTTGTGATGCGTGCGGATCTGACTGGCTACCGCTTCTAGTCGTTGCCATCAGTCTGTTACTTTACAGGTGGAAATCGATTGGGAAAGAGTGCCAGAGGTGCACCCTCAAAGATAAGAGTCAAATGGAACTGAGGACGCAATTTAGTAATGTATTCCCATGCGTGCTCATAGATTTCTCCGTAAAACAGGCTTATCCTCACGCTAGACAACGTCATTCCATAGCAAACACAGTTAAAATAAATGCTTTGTTTAGATATTTAAATTAATTGTTAAATAACGCTCGGCGATCTTATGCTGAACATTATTCGAACTGTAGTTTTCATATCAAGACCTAGAGAAAACATGAAAATAAGATTACAATGGCACGGCACACTACCTAATATTTTAACCCGTCGGTTAGCAGACACGTAGCTACAGAACAATCGACCATGGTTGATTGGATTCATTTGTGCAAATGGCGCACGGACACACGCACATAAGTAGAACAATTCACTCCCTTCCATCCAAAAGCGCGAGTACATGGCGAGTCTAGAAACCTTTTGCAGTTCAATTATGCTGCACTCAGCTGATCCAATGTTTTACCTGTTTTACCTCTGAAAACAAAAGCAGTCTGCGTTTTATTCTGGCTGCAACTGATTACATCCATACCTGACATGAGCTAATGAATCGTCTGAATGTATTTCTTGCTTTCACTCATCAATGGGATGTATGGATGACCTGTTCTTTTAACCTATGTTTTTGTCTCTTCATAGACATGATGTGGAAATTCAGTTAACAATCAGGGAGGAAATTAATGGGAAGAATGTTACTCAGTGATTAAAATGAATGTGCCATTCTTTTAACCTGCTTGGGTCTCATTAGCAAAGTGAATCCAATAATGCATTTGACAATAGAAGACAATACTTCACCGGTACAACGTGAGCACACTATGCACTTAATCATCACACGGGTTATTCAGACCGTTTTCCAATTCCCGCATCGTATGCTCTCTAGAGGAAAATGCGAATCGAATCCTGGTAAAACTATGAATCTCCGTTGATGACACACCCGGTGAAATTGCCGAAAACAGTGCATAAGATTCACAAAACAATGCGTTTACGACAGATTCAGGAGCTGGTTAAAATGAGCACAAGACTTTGAAACTGTAGTCACCAAAAATGCTAAATGAAATCCGTGTTTTACGGGATGAGTATCGTATGCAGCATCATAATGCATACACCAGTTCACAAAAGCCGATTGTTATTCTCTGACTGGAATCAATCAAAAAACTGTGGAATCATCGATAGTTTAATTTAGTCCTATCACTTTCAGTAATAGTATGTGTTGTTATCATTGGAAGAACCCGCACTCTTATCGATTATGAAGCTAGTGTCGAAAGTGAAACGACTGAATTTTGGGTTGTTTGATTTGAGCTGCTTTACGTGTGATCACTTGTTCCCAGTGACACCGTATATGATTCAATCTATCACGCCTGAATTCAGACCCACTTCTAACCTAAAATGCAGATCTTTTGAGCATGTCGAAAATGCGATATGAACCTGTCACGACCGTGGCGGATGCGTCGCTCACTACTAACAACTCTGCCTGTATGATGTTTTGAAAACAATGCTAAGTACATGACTCGTTCATTGAAAACAGATACACCCAGTGATGAAGACACTCACTAGTTTTAACGTATCGAAGGAATTCAACTCGGAGCCAGAGGTTTTACCTAAAAAGGTAAAATCTACCGATTGTTGTGTTAAGCATATTTCCCCTAATTGTGTTTTTCTACTATCTCTAATTTATTAGTGGTGCGTTATACATGTTTGTGTGATCGTGTGTGATTGATGCAATGAATCTCCAGGCAAGCGTTCATTTTACTGATTCACAGGGTGCAAAAACTATATTTTCTGAATAATCAATTGCAACATTCTGAGATGGAGATGAAAAAATGTTTACTAATAAATTGTTTGGAAAATATCTATATCAGCACATTATTATGCATGAATTCGATCAACCAGTACAGTGCATACTGTACGCTAAATCTTGTGGCAAATGGCTAGGGTCCATTTGGATCCCACTGTACCGTTTTGCTCGGCTAAAACCAACTGACTGAATTTACTTAGACCAATAAACGTGACAAGGATCAATATTTTGTATTTTTCTGTAGATTTTGATTTTCAGTATTGTCGTCCCCTTATATGTTCTCATGAATCGGACATCATTTGACTTTTTCTTCTCAAATATGACCCAATGTGAACAAAAGTACTTAATCCGATCCGCCCGGCCACCGTAACAGATCACCTGACTCCAGCTGACCAGCTTAAATAGGTTTCGAAATTGGCTATCCCATTGACCTCAACTAATTTGGTTGGTTGTCCACTGTCTTCGTAAAAATGTCATCCCCGACTATACAAACTAAAATGTCATAAACAGCAAGCAGCTTTTGGGATCCGGTAACACCTGAAATCGATTGCATACTATCTTTGCAGCGGAATCCACCTCGAACTACTCGGTTTGGCAGTACCCGATCACAGAACGATATGGAACGATTTTTAAGCGCATGTCTGAATGGGGATTCACCACAAGCACTACGGACTCACTGGATCATGTGAGAAAAGGTTCGGTCGTATTTATGGAATCCCCGCTGGCCGCGTACTACATTGCCAGTTCCTGTGATCTGAAACAGTTAGGTGAGCGTATTGGCAGCTGGCACTATGGAATCGCGCTTGCTCCGAAGTCGTTTCTGACACCTAGTTTCAATGCCATGTGAGTCTTCCAAACATGTGCTTAAACAAATGATCAACCATGTTGCTCGTTTTTACCATCTTACAGTAATAAAATAAATGTACAATTATTCATCGTGACATATTGTCATACTAGGTAAAACGGTGAATCCCACTGACCTCACGACCGATCACTGATCACGAAAGAAATGAAGTATAGGATACCACGAAAGTAATTACATCACAATGCTGTTGAGAATTCTCTGATTCGCTCTCCCCGATGCCTACTAAGAAGCGATCGTTTGAAGTGTTGAGTATCTTGGGTAGGCAAATATTTTATAATATATGGCTGGTAATAATAATGCAAATAATCACAACTCTAGGGGAGAAGTAAATTCTTATTCGATCTTGAACGGAATGTTTCTCCGTAGGACTGTCGTTTTTCTTTCTAGTCTTTGTAGGTCTCTCAGTATTCTTTAAACACTTTACCATTCCAAATGAGGTCAAGTCAAATATTTGCTTTATGCTTTCCGAAAGGTGAATGAATACGCATTTCTGTTGTCAGAGTGACTAAATGAACAGCCCGTGCCACTGACTAACGTAAGACCACAGTTGGGAAGTTTATGTACTCATATGAATGATGAATAAATAACTCATAATGTTTTGTTTCATTTACCTCATTCGATCTTACAGGGTGCAGGGGATTGCGTATGGTCTTTTTAACTTTGCTATGTGTTTAACTCCTGAACACACAACACGCTAAGTCGAAATAACAGATATTCACCCTAGTTAGTCGTGAATTGTGTATCTCAGGACTGAGGGCTTACAACACCAGTCCAAAGTTTTTGGTTCGAGTCCCACTGCGGGGCAGAGAAATGGTGTCCACTGTCGACGAGTCGTGAAAGGGACGAAACAACTATCTGATGTGTTTTGTTGTGATTCACACGTAGATATTTCTGTGTTAAGTAATGTTTTTTTCCTATTGATTATTTCATGTAAACCCTAATCTCAGGATACTTCGAATGAAAGCCGAAAACGAGCTGGACAAATTAGAGAAAAAGTGGTGGTCAACTAATGTGACCACCTGTCCAGAAACATCGACCACCAATGGATTCGGTATCGAACAGGTGGGCGGCATGTTCATTCTGCTGACTTGTGGATTCATCACCGGGGGTATTATATTGGCAATTGAACTAATTGTTTTTCATGTCCTCGTTCGTCGTGCGGAGAAAAAGGTGAGAAAAATTGTTCCAGAATATATGTGCTCGTTGACGAAAAAATGTTTTTGAATTTCGAAATGCCTATCTAAGGGGATTGCTCATCAAAAATGTGTCGAAAATCCCTTTAGGGTAATACTTAAATGTTTATACGTGTTTCAACGGTATTTGGTGCATGTTTGGAGTGCACTTAGCAAAGCCAAAACCTACTCGGAAAAATAATGCAAGCTATGTCTTGAGCAAGATCATAGGACGTGAAGCTAAAATCACATCAGAGGAAAATAGGTATGAGGACAAGAACGTGTCGTTTGACTTAGTTGGTTCTTGATTAAGTCGGTCCGAGACACTAAGGTGCTGTTAGATAACCGCGAACTTGTTATTGAACGAATCCCTAAATTGGGCATTATGAATACTGACAAAATGCTAGTTATTTAAAACATGTGTATGAAAATATTTTCAGCGAAAGGAGAAGATGTCACCCACATCATTCCTAAAGTGTATGTGTAGTAGAATATCCCATGTCAGTTAAGTAGGTTAATTAGGCAAGTCTTTGATGTGCGAAATCAACTTAGGATGAAATGACTCCAATGATATGTAGAATAGTGTTTGCTTTTTGCGCATGAAAAAATTCCCTCCTGGGAAATTCCTACGGAACTCCTTCTTTTGACGAGGTGGTTTCCACTGAATTGAATGGGGGAAAAATTGATAGCTAAGTCGATGAGCCACAGGTATCTCGTATATTTAGCGGTTTTAGAAATCCCTAATTTAATATATTTACACATTCGAAGGAGAACTGGCTTCTAGACATCTTGGTGGCGATAGGTTTCGGTTTGCCCGGTCTATGGGGTGCACTAAACACACTAGATGGGTGCACTTCACAGACAGACCACATAGTACAACAGATCGGATGTCAGTTCCGAATGAACTGCGGTTTTCACTTCCCGCACATTGCCATATGAGTGACTTTACAATCATCCGTAAACCCAAAATCTGAATCCCCCGAGAAAATTAACGGCCAAAAGGATAAATACTATCTATTGAAAGGAGATCAATTTCGGGAAAAATTGCGCATCTGACTAAGTACAACGAGGAGCTGGTGGAGATTGTTTTATTCAGTCTTTTTCTTATGCTACAATCGTTTTGTTTTCCAAATTTTTAAGCATTTTATTGCTTCTGTGAACGATAATGAGCATCAAGTGCAATAAGGCTGGTGTTTGAAAAATATCGTTTTATTGGTTACTATTTACACATTATGACGAAGGTTTGTGTTAAAAGAGAATTGTATTTACACTGTATTCTAGGTCACCTGATTTCGTGTGCGGCAAATTCCCAGGTATCAGCCAATTTATAGACCATCACTGGAGTATATAATGTTTCATAAGTTTTGTTTACGGTCGCAGTCGAAGAATATTTCTTACTACACACCGTTATACCCATTGGGTGGGGATTTTGATATTGCCAGAGTGTCCCGTTGAGCTTGACTATGATTCTAATATACGGCTGATCCGACTGAAACTACCCGATAATCAGTTTGTTCATCAAACGTGTACAATGCATTCCGGTTTTTCAGTTCCCATTTCCCATGAACGATAGACGAAAGGTTTCATCACTAAAATCCGATGAAATTCTCAATCACTTTATTGTAATATTTGCTCAAGAGAATACAATGATGTATGTATGATAAACTCTGAAGTTGTATTATCAAATTGTTCTCTAGAAATTAAGAGAATGAATAACCATTAGATGCGCAAGGTTACCCCTGGATATAATCGACACCATATGAAAAAAAAACAGATAAAATATTCTGAGGAAAAGCGGTACAAATTGCTAGTAATTTGAATGTATAGTTTCTTTGCAATTTTCATTTGACTGAAATGTTAAACCCGCCTACATGTTCAGACACAGGAAGCCGAAGCACAGGATGCAAGAAATGAAACAAAACTATCGCTTCCGAGTCCCTTGGTTACCGTACCGAAGATTGAGACACATTCTGTCCACTCATCCACAACCACGCTGAGATCGAACGACGAGGACGTGGAGAAAGCGGACAACGGGAACACAACGGCAACTGCACCTTCAAGGAATGAGTTGCGCCCTCCAACCTACGATGAGTACCCGAATCCGAATGTGACACCTTGAGTTGTAGTTGTATTCGGACACCGGTGCGAAGTTGGTGACAGTATGTTCATCATTTCCTTCCCTGAGGGGTTCGGAATGTGCCACCAGATTCCAATCTTATCGTCATAGCCGTTTCGCATTGCTTACTGTTGTTATTATTTGCATTCAGAATATTTTGCGCACGAGCACAGTCATGCATACACACACACACACTAAATCATGTTCATGTACGAATAACTGATTAGTAAGTATTCTCCCTCTCAAACACGCAGAGAAGAGTCAGCATTTTGCACTATTCAAGGGATACCCATACATATACATCTTCATGTAAGCGCATTGAACGTTTCAGCATTCATTTTTACAGTTGTCTTTGACCCCCCATCCTTCCACCACACGTGAATCAGACAACTAATTTATATTTTCATGATTTCTTTTGTTTTTCTCATTTTCAACGAACACGCTCAAATTGTCATTTATAGAGATTGCATGCGTTCATACGAGACATATATCACCAGATTTCATATATTTCATTCGATGTTTGAATTCACACTAATTATTGGTGCAAATTATACACGTACTTCTATCACCACTACGTTTGGGTATGCGCACGTCATTCGAGAACTATGACAGCGCAAAGCCAATGTTCTGTTTCTATGCACACTGGGTCTTTTTATTTTGATCTTTTTGTTGTTAGCTCTAAGCTGAATGAGATGTGGATTCTCAAGGTCGACAATCATGGGACCAGAAGGGACCAACGTGTGCACTTTCGATGAAAGGAGGCACATATCCGAGAAGTTATATATATCACCAAAAATGTAGCCAAATTTCGCCAGTAATCTTGTCCTGGCTGTTCAAAAAAGATGCGTCAAACGTATAGCTGCTACGCATGTCCAAGAGCTCCACGAATACCGCTATCCAGATTTAAAGCCTGAATCAAATGCATGTCTAATCTTTTCCAAGAGTGCAAACCAAATCACAAACATCGGGGGTAACATGACAATCCACCTGTAATTGTTAAGATTTTAGCCATTGAAATGGTGCGAGAAAAACCGCTCCTTGTTTGCTGGCTAACCTGTATTGAACCTAAGAAAAAGAAGTAGTAGTCAGTTTGCAAACAGTCAGAGCAATTCAAAAATAATGCAGAGTCTGGTGATCCACCATGGGAGACGGCAGCCAAAAGAATTTGACGTGATGATTTCGGGTCCGACAGCCATCATCTGGGTGAAAGGGCGATTACATGTCTGCTTATCCCTTGCTAAGCGATTCAAATCCGGGCTGATTGAATAGATATGCATTGCCATTGAGGTCTTAAGGGGGAAAAACTTGAGTCTATGCGATTCCCGACTGCACCACTGGACTATCAGCAAACACTAATTTCCAAAGATGGTCAGTCAAAATCAACTCTACTTATTATACTCAACCATACACATATTTGTAACTGAAAAAGTATGACTAGACAATAAGTACAACACCTATCTTATTGGTGCAACATGAATTGGTTACTTTCAGTCCCGGGACTTAGGTAGTGAATCCTTGTAACCACATGGTTCTCCTTTTCTATTGAATATTGCTCTCAATTATGTGTGAGGAAGGTGATCAGGTGATCACATGAAAGCCATTCGCGTTCGGTAGATTATTGCTTAAATTTATACTTTTGAAAATAACCGGTAGCCTTAGTCAAATTCGGTCCAACGTATAAATCCCGTAGCTTCACTGATAGAACGTGCGCTGTATACGTAGACGGCATCCACGTCTGGGCTCAAATTCCACCGAGGCTACTAAACTTGACACAATTAGAACAAAACCCATAGTTATCTTATTCAAAACACAACATAAAAATACAGAGTTGACCTCGTATCTTTAAAAACTACGACGCAACCGCAATGCTTATTTAATTACATAACCAGTTTTTATCCTCCCGAAATTTGTTTACGTATTCAATCTACCTACCGTGAAGTTGACATTTCGGCTCCAATTTTGTTAACCTTTGTTTGCATGTTCGTTCAAGACAATTAATCAACCAGATGTGATACATGCCTGGTTGTTTTGCAGCAGTGTTTGAAGTCTGTTATGATGAAAATAAACATAATGTTTACATCTCATGCAATTTGTCTTCCGTATTGATGAAATCAGTGGAGACACCGAATGTTTGACATTTTCTCGGCTAGCTAAGCGCCTTTTGGCTTATCACTCAACGACTACTTATCGAGCATCCTTTTCAATTTGACCCAAGATCCGGTTGATATATAATAAATATCTCGAAGGGGCTATTTTTCGTTTGAGGAGCTATAAGCTTCATTGAAGGATTCAAAATCTTCCACAGGATTGTTTCTGATGCTTCATTTTCATTTCTTTGTACATTGAGAATAATCCCGCATGATTTTAGTGTTGAAAATTACGGTGGTTAATCGATAGGCTAATACATCAGAAATTGCATCAACAGTAGTAGTTGGGGCAAAATTACTACGCAATAAGGAGGAAAAATCACATTCTAGTTCCGTGACCGGATGTTGCATACACATTACTCATCGAACATAAGCATTGTTTGGGTCATTAGAGGTGAATGAGAAGATGACTTTCAAGTGTGTTGTTGGACAGGGAGGATCAATTGATAATGGTATTTTCGGACAATTTTAGTGCCTGCAAGTGCGATGACTATGTAGTGACTGAGTGACTAACAGCACAAAACTAAACTACGACGTATATCATAGTTTTCAAGCATCCATGACTCAACAAGCTATAAAATATGGCTTTTTCCAGCAACAAAATTCATCACTTTTAAAAGATCAGTTGCAGTCAAGCTTGGTCTTACAAGGTCACCTGATTTGGCAATAACTGTCTTTCTTTTGGTCACCAACGTTCCCCCTGAAAAGGTCATTCCACAAAACGAACAACGAGAGTAACAATCTACCGGTTAAAATGCTGGTCAGGTGAGCGTAGAAGTGTACTAGTTGGGGCTTCCCCTTACCAGTCTGTGTATTCCGTTGCAAAGCCTCTGTCCGACCAGAGTGTGCAAACCCTTGCTAAACATGTCCCATCCATATTCGGCCTATTTCACTGGGTGCAGGCCATCGGGGGTCACGATCAAACGATTGACAAATGAATAACGCATCAGATAACAAAACGTAAAACATAACGGCCTTATGTGGTGGATTTATGGGGACCCCCACATGTCTACGCGTTGCAACTACACACTACTGCCTAGTGGGTCAGGCTGTTTAGTCTGTGGCTTTTGTCGGAGTCTCCGAAGAAAAGCTTGCTAGTTCGGTGTGGGTTTCCACATTTTGTGCCGAGCCCTAAATTCCCGGGCACCTATTTGGAATACAATCTTTCTAGGTTGTGTATTCAGTTAATCCTGTAATCCCTCGAAATACACAGAACAAGTGCCTAAAAATAGAGCAGTTATTCGGTGTTCTTACACAACCAGATCTTGTTTATTTGTCTCCTGAATTTTTATCTTGAATCTGCTTACAGCTTTTGGTTTGCAATTAATTCAGTGATCCACCAAAAGTAGTAGTTGAAGAACGATCTCCCGAAAGTACAAAATTAATCATCGCATACATTGAAATTGTCGACCGTCATGGTTTCCGTCCGGTGGAAGATAACCCAAGTAAACTTAATGATTGGCTCCTTCCCATTCCATTGGGCTCAACGGTAGTGTTTTGATCTCATGTCTAGTCTCAAAACTGGCTCCCGTTATCGTGCCTTAATGAACAGAAATTATTGCCACGGATCTATCTCTCTGTCGAATTTCGTGATGCCACTCTAACGCATCGTATTTTGGACTAGATAGTTTTAGAATATATGTACTAGTTCAAATACGGTCACTTTGTGAACACGAGCCCAGAAAAGTAGACGTCTCCTATAATCACCAAACAGAGTACAGGGAAATTGGAATGAAAATCTCCGGTGCACTGTATAGTGGATCAGACATTTTTGGGTTTGACAAGAAGTGGAAAATCATCCTTCCAACAAACGATCGCGAACCCGGGACCCCACATTCAGAGCGTAACCCTTCTGTCAATTAAACATCGATCAGCTGATCGGGCTACATTGCTAAGTAAATCACCGGCAGAGCAGAACTGGTTTTTATTGGCTTATTTTACTTCCTTTTATTGGATATAAATAATGATACAAAACACTTTCAGGGAGGCCGAAGTAGCCAAACAAAATGTCTGACGTCCAAAGAAAACGTGGAAATTTGGGCGGCGATGAAATTCAAACTCACGTCCTTCGGTGGGATAAATTGGTGACCGTTTGACCACCGCTGTCTGTTTACAAGCTTGTTATGGATATTTAAAGATGTTGACGCTACTCTAGCATCAATAGCTAGCGTTTCATTTGATAGTTCTGTAAGACAAAAGTGTGAGAAAACCAAATTTAATCATCCTTATCCTTAAACGTTTGATCGCTAACAGCCTACCTTATGGGGTGAACTCATCCTGCATATTACGTTTCAGCAAGAAACGGAGAGCACAACATTGCTTTGGTCGGTGAAACTGCTTTTTTAATCAGGTGCAGATCAATTAGAAAACCGTTAAACCTATGTTGCTTATAATGGTCAAGCCATTGTGGACTACATGTTGAGTGATACCAGACTTTTCTCTTGTAAGCAGTCTAAAGAACAATGGACATTGGTTGAAGGGAAACTGACTGTTTGGTACTATAAATATCAGCCATGTAGTAAACGACAATGTAGTCGCAAGTGATATGTCAATGGTATTTATTTCCAGACGGACGTGTTATGTAATGCAAGCTAAACGGACTGCGAGTGTGTCAATAACGTATTTGTCCCTCTTTAATATGCATGGCCATCCGAACTTTTAGGATTGAATTTGATCAAGTTGTCGGTGTAACCTTTGGGTAGCGGTTTTTCATCACGAACCTGATCATGAAATTCAATGTGAAACCCAGTGTGAATGTATTCCGTTCTCGTTTGTGCACGCTAAACTGCTCTTAAATCGCGTTCAGATAAGAGTTGCTGGGCAACTTGGAATTTCTCCATGGTCAAGGAGTTTTGCCAGCAGATAACCGATAATATATTCCAAAGGTGAATTCGTTGTGTATATAGCATATGAAGCGTGAACTGAAAAGCTAGGAACCATTGAACAACTGTCCCGACCTCTTTGGGTCCCATCAGCAGTTCAAATCCATCGACCCAACTGGAGATCGAACCCGGGACCATACAGGCATAACGCAAGCATTCTACCCACTCGGCCACCGGGCAGCTGATCAGACCGTTTTCATTTTCCATTTACACGATATAGCACAACCCACCTTTGTGAGCTTGTTGCGGGCCACGGACCCTACTCATCTCAGCACTAACCTCCGGGTTATGACTCGGTTGGAAACATTCACAACCTGACTGCATGCTTGCGTTCTGCCCATGAGGTCCCGGGTTCGATCCCCAGTTGGGTCGATGGATTCGCACGGCTGATGAGACCTAAAGAGCTCGGAACAGTTGTTCAATGGTTCCTAGCTTTTCAGTTCACACTTCATTTGCTATATACACGACGATTTCACCTTTGAAATTGAACCAAATCCTCCATTACTCACTTGAAAATAATATATATTCCTATATCAGTCAGAACACAACTAACCTTACTTGAGGCATGATATGTTACATTAAGCTGCAGAATAAACAATTTTTACAGAACAACCTCTCTTTTGAAGCAGTTGACAGTATCATTGTTCACCGGTTCAACAGGTCTCATAGGTGTTCTCTTTCAAGGTTTCGATGACAAAATTCTAGAGCGGTTAATACCACGGGCAATAAAACTACCGTGTACAGCTACCCCGATGACCTGCCTCGCAAACCACTAAGAGTAGACTTGTCAATCGATAACTAACTTGAAGGACTAAAGGGCGGGATAACGTAATACAGAGCCAGGGAAGATAAACAAGTTATTGGTCTACACGCAGTTGCTCTAGTTCGCATTACATAACATATCTGTGTGAAAATAAACACCATTGACGACCACATTTTGTTACCTCAGAACTGACTTCCATATTGTCCATCGTCCTCGAATGCCTACAAGGGAAACCCCAATTATCTTTCAGTAACCCATTCCCATTGGCGTATCAAGGTTCTGCCCTCACCATGTACTTTGAACTTATTAGAGTGAACATAAATTCTTCAACAGTGGAGTGTTCAATGAGCTTCCAGTAGTTTTTACTGATGATAGGATCGTCCAAGACGATTTCCTTTGTAACAAACATTTTGATGCCCGCGATAGGTGTGCATTGACAGGACTGCCCTGCCGAATCCCTGAATAGGTGTGGAATTTATCCCCTCTTTCCTTGCATGCACATTTCCCTATCGAAAACAGTGCTATCCTGCATCTCACCCACAATTCGATACTACAGTAGTCATACACCGGAACGATTCAGACTACAATCATCTCGCACACTACACCGTCGTGTTGATCACAGAAAATTATCAATTGCCTCAAATGACGAAGAACTATTTGAGGATATATACTGCACTCCCTTCTAGTTCAGCCTAGAGTCGGGTTTTACGCACGTGATCTTGCGGTGACCATCAACTGCGTGACACATCACTAGACCAAGTGACCAGATCAGTCTGACAACCGACAAATGCACACATAAGATGGATTCCACAAGCTTGCTTATACACAAAGATTCCTGCAATACTTCATGAATATTTTGTAAAATCGCACAGGCAAGGAAAGAGATTTTGGTGACAACTGGGTTGACTCGACCAGAGGATTAGTAAAATCATTTGCTATCAGCTCAGCGCAAGATGTGAGAAAATGAATTACTTAAGTACAACAGTATATACAATGGCGGTTATCGCAAATTACCGAACTGTAACCCTCCTTCCAATGGTATCTAAAGTTATGAAACAATCGTGTCAGATCCTCTGACCCAACATTTAGAAAGATACCTTAGTTCGCCAGTCCAAAATGAGTTCCGGGAAAAACAATCCTGTTCACTCCACCTGCTTCTTGTTCGAGAAGAATGGACTGGAACGATCCGCGAATAAGACGCGGTGGATGTGATTTATTTGGAATTCTTGAAGGCATTCGATGGGGTGAATCACCAGAGCGTTTCATAAGCTTCATAATATTGCTTTGCGACGTCTCATGTTTGATTGGATCTAGGCATTTCTCCGGCAACTGACGACATCAGTTCGTGCTTTGGATTCCATGTCCGCTTGTCAGAGTCACCCCCGTGGTTCCACCAAGGTCTGTACTTAGTTCCCGACTTCTCCTCTTATTCGTAAGTGATCTAACAAATGTTCTAGGGCCAAAAACAATGCTGTTTGTGGGCCGGCTGACACTTCAAGAAACACTTAATATGGCATATCAGTGGTCTACGGGGTGAGTTTGATTTCAGTGGTTTTTATCACAAATTCTTATCCCTACGACACAACAGTTTAGTTCCGTATTCTCTCGGAAATCAACAACTTCCACGCCTCAAGTGTGAAGGGCCTAGGTATCAGTGTTCAAGACGGCTTAAACAACTCGATTGATTGCACCAGGGTTCGCCAGCTTGCTTGGGGGTGTCTTTGGTCGATTCAACTCGGCACTGTTCCTACGTTTACTATGACTTTACGTTCAATCACACACAGAGTATGCCATTCAAACCGGTAGATAATGGCTAAATGATTGTAATGTATTGGGCATTCACTTTTCCGACAACTGACTACACTATTTCGTGTTTTAGATTCCATGCCCGGTCCTATCAACGGTATCCGCCGGGTTCCAAAAGGATCTGTACTTAGTTCCCAATCTTTATTCACATTGATAAAATATTGAAAACTGGTTCTCGTAGCTCGGGTGAGCTGAATTCCATTTCGCCGAATCACCAGGACCAGGACCAAATGCAGTACTGTTTGCAAACGAGGCCAAAATCAGGGATACGGGAACATAACCCAAGGGCTCGTCAACACTTCAAGAAACACGCAACGCAGTTTATCAATGGTGTACGGAGAATGCTAGTGATTTCTGTTTATAAATGCAAAGTTCTATCCCTACACACAACAGTGGATTTCCGTATTACCTCGTAAATCAACCACTGTCAAACGCCTCAAGTGAGAAAGATCTAGGTACTTTTGTTCAAGAGGACTTAAACTGTTCGATCGATGGCTCTGGGTCTTCTTCTGTAGCTGTGAAGAATATCGGTTTGCTTGGGAGCGTCTTTAGTCGGTTTGAAGCAACACTATTCTCACGTTTGTTTTCAGTGTACATTCGACCGTACTCAGGGTACGACATCCAAGCCTAGAAGTGATCGTAAGATGGTGAGCGTCCACAAAGATTGCCACCAAAAAGATGAAGGGATTGTATTGCATCTCCAACGTGGATTGATTACAAACATTATTTTCCATGGAGATTGGATTTTGTTGTCTCAGAACCCGGACCGTTCGTGTCGTCCGCTGTTCACATTATCACCCATAATCCACTTCAGTTCAAGTTAGTGCTTCCAATTGGAAAACCGGCGTCAATGTTTACCGTCTGACGGTGCACCACTTGGAGTGCTCTTACACTTCGTCGTTGTCGTGGCAATTCTTAAATCCTTCGAGCGGAGATTTGATGCAATCCTGGTACACCTCAGATTTGTACATTATCTCCATACCCGGAACAGTGTCTGGAATTTCTCATTTTTTACCGAGAAACAATTCAGTTGCGTAAATATTCTATGGGGACATGATAAGCATGGGCTTTTAAGTAATTCCCCTGATGAAATCATGTCCATGAGCGAAAGATAATTTGTGCTTCCGGTATGTAATTTTTCAGAGTGAATAAGCTGTTCGCTTCTGACAGCTGCAACGAAAACAAACGGCGACTTGAGGCGGGAAAAGGGGAATGTAATTCGGTGAATTAGTCCAAACAACAAAAGATTCGGACCGTCTGCGTGACATTCCGGGAGCAGTGTGNGATGACGGGATTTCATATAGTGAAGCAAAAGTGACTATTTAATGATACCGTACCAGACCGCACACATCAACCGAATCCCATGGTGCAAACGAAGCGGATGAAAAAGGGAAAATAAAATCTTTGTTTGGGTTTAACATTACAGCCTGATAGAACAGAGAAGTGGGTAGTTGAAAAAATGAGTGAGCAGTCTGGTGTTTCATGGAGGAGTCGAAACAGAAACAACTGTACATTACAAATGATTGATCGATATGTGGAAATNTGAGAACGGAGCGAGGGAGACGGAGGAGGGAGGGGGAGTAGGCGTGGAATGAAGTCGTGACGATAACAGCAGGATGAGAAAATAATGAATAGCATAGGATCACAATACAATAGGTGATGGCACCAAATTTGAGTAACAGATCAGAGAAATAGCAAAAAGAAGTATGGCTAATTAGTGGACCGAAAAACGGTCTCGGTAGATGGAGAAGAAATTGGGAAACATGTGCACACGCGAACGGGGATAATTGTATTAGACTGGAACGGTTAATTGTTCTCTGTCCTGACGGGAAGCAGTGGACCGTGAAGGACAAGAGCAACAATTGGTGAATATCGGGAAACCGGGGAGACAACGCCAAGTCGATGAAAGGACAGAATCTGAAGCGGTCTGTTGCAGTTTAGCCAGATCAATGAAAATCTGCTCCAACGTAGTTTGACTCAAACTATAATTGATCACATTCAAACGAGCTTTGTTCGCTTCGATCAGACTGAAGATGCGTCCCAAATCAAGACTTCCACGAACCGGGAGAGGAAAATGATATTGCAACAGTCCCTGTGGTAAACGAGAAGAGAACACATAAGTTATTAGTAGACAAAGTGGAGCGCTCTCAGTTTCAAAAAGTCCCAGGTTAGGTACTTCCCTTATATCGTCTCTTTCACACAAAAACGAATACCGAATGGTTTTCGGATAATCAGACCACCAGCAGCATGAACGGTGGCAGGCTTATTCACGAGAAAAACCCTATGGAGTACTCTACGGGTTCAGGTTCACTAATGTCAGCGAACGAGATGTGATCGAATGATCTGGCCATCCAGATTAGGTTAGGTTACTAAAATACTCATTTTCCTCAACATAAATCAATGCATACAATGTCAGAAACAAATTATCAGTGTCACGATAACTAAACTTCTTTAATCTAACACTCTCAACAAATAAGCTCATTTCGCGAAAGACAAATCCGCGAAGAGCATGACGGGTTTCGCGCACGCCGTGGTTGCATAGACTAAATCTTGACCCTTCTTCAGCTACCAGAACACCTCCTGGAAAGAGTCGTAGCTTTGGAGTTTATCTTACTCGATGACAACGCAGCAACGATTCAAAAGTTGTTGAATCGTTTAACAATTGAGGTTACTCGTTATGGTATGTTCTTTGCACCTTCAAAGTGAAAGGACGCAAAGCCAATATCCGGGTTGGTGAACCAGTGGTACATAACCTAGGGAAGTTGGCTATAAATTCTGATTACAAACCAACCAAGAAGAGGCCTACGAACCACACACACCCACACCTTTTAGGTTGCAGCTGCGGTCAACGGCTCCATTCGGTATCGTGATGTGTTGGGCAACTTGGACGTTTGGTATCATCAAAGGGTGCACGATCGGATGAACTGGACAACTGACCCCAACGAATTGCTGTTTTCAGACACTGCCTTGCTGTCGTTCGGGTCAGGCTTTGGTTAGCCAAAGGCTAAGTTTGTCAATTCCCCAAGAAAATTCACCTGTCTTGGTATAGGAAACCTCGCAGTATTCCGCCCACATGCAACTCATAGGGCGTTTTTCTTTTATGAAGATTGTTTTACCGTGATTTGCTTGGGAGAGTCTGGCCTCAAACATAAGTGAAATATAATATAAAAAAGAAAAGGACAAAATAATACATGGAAAAGTGTCTAGGCATTATTCATCGCATAGCTTCATCCACAACTTTTAATCAGTGAAGATACAAGTCAAATACTAATTACCGGAAGTTGCATATATAAAAGATCATTGCACATTGTATTATAAGGGGATAAAGAAGGCACTTGATGGTGTTCACACCATCAAAAGGAGGACCGGCATTATCCAGAGGTTGAATGGTGTAAAATGAAGGCGAAAGAATAAATAAGCACTCTAAGTATTCTGATAAACTAAGAGTAAGGCCGGATTGCATGGGGAAATTTTGAGTAACAGTCAGATGGTCCATTAGATACAGAAAATCAATCCATTTAGAAAGTTTGGAATAACAAAATCGTCAGTTGGAGAGACGGTGAAATCAGGAAACTAAGTATTCAAATTCAAATTTTTATTATGGGTAAATTACAAAGCTGATGCTTATGGAATCCCATAGGATCTGTACACACTGGGTTCGGTTGGTAGTACAATTGACCAGCAAATTCTGACGTTCACTCACGGGTACCGGAAAGTTAGGTGTTTCAATGCTTCATCCAGTCGTGATTTGAATGAATCTATGGTTGGTGCACAAACAACTTGAGATGGAGAAGAGTTCCAGGTGTTACAAACTCTGAGGCTGAAATAATGACGCATGCAGTTTAGCCGACTCTTTCGCAGCAGAAGCTTAAACGGATGTCCTCGGAAGTGAACATTCCTGGATAAAGTTGGTAGAATACTACGCGGGTGGTTAGGTTGATGTAGTATTTGATAAACAAAGATAATATCTCTCTGTATTCTATGGTATTCAGACGAATAGAGTCAGAGAATTTGCAGCCTTTCACCGTAGGTCTTAGATTGCAAACCCTTTGACAATTTCGGTTGCTGTTCTCTGCGTACATTCGAGTGCCTTTTGGTCGTGAATCAGCCATGGATTCCAAGCCTGTATAGCATACTGCGTGTGTGGT